AAAGACCAGCCTGATTGATCAGTTTCATAAATACACCGATCTATCAATTCGATATTATGATTAAAACCTAAATTAACAACCAAATCCATAACGAGGTTGAAGGATTTTGGACTTCTACATGGTGGAGGTTTTGCAGCTTCACACTTACGCAACAATAATTAGACTTACTGAAGAAAAGCGAAGGCAAAACACGCAATATTTACACAATAGTCTAACTGCATGTTCTGCTATGAGGATTAAAGTGTGTGTACGTGAGACAATGTGTGTGTGTGTCTGTGTTCTGCCTTCACCACGTGCTCAGGCATGAACCCACGGGTCGGACCAGAACAAGAGACCGAGGCGGGCGGTTTGAGCGTCCTCTCCATGTGTGGGTCTGTTCAGAAGGGCCAGTACTGGACTGACACTTTGTCCACAAAGGAATCGTGCATCTGTTGATATTGTTGTTGAGTGAATCATTGAAGAAGCAAATTTTCTTTCTGCAGGCACTGTTTCACGGTTGAAATATGTCAAAAAGACCTACAGTCTGTGGGACATATATATTTTTACATGCCTGTGAAGGTTGCACACGTAGCCTGGCATTTATGTCACGGAAAAGAAAGTGACACTCGGTGAACCAGGCGCCCTTCTTCCCTTTTCTTCTACTGACCAAAAGCCCATGAGCCCACGTGGCAGCAGCAGGGTGTGATGCACGATGTGTTATGACACATTCCTCCCACGACCCGCTTTAAAGTCCACTGCAGCTTGTGCCTCCGTCGCCCTTCTGTCATCTCAGATCAGGCGGGACAGCGTTCATCACCGCTGCACATCAAGACCTTGGTTCCTACATTGTGACCAGTTCGGTTTGTCCATCCTTAGATCACCGTGTGTGGCTTCTCCCCACTGCCGCTCAGGACTGTCCTTTCCATTCTCATTCGAGCCTGTACACCTGCCAGGGCTGCAGGATTTATCATCAAGCATCAACCGCTACGATGTGTGCATGCAAAGCAGTCGGGCAAATTAACTGCAGCACATCAGGCTAAAGCTTTCTAACTGCTTGATTGAAAAAGAAACGCACACTGCTGTCACCTCCCACGGCTACTCGACAAAAGAAGTTTGTCTGATCTCTTAAGGGGTCTTTGATGAACTGATTTNTTTTAGCTGCAGTTTGCTCTGACTGTGTGGAGTCATCCTTACGACACTCTGATGATGTGATAAATGACGATACTGTAAGTCATGCTGCAATGTTTAGTTCCTTTATTCTTTAAAAGGACTTGAAATGAAGTTAAAACCTGCCTCCTGTGATTGTTTAATCAAACTGTAAAGTTACTTCTCTTTTCAGTAGAGCACACTGGAGCTGTTTGAGGAAGAAGGTGGTGCAAAGAGAAAGTGTTTCTGACTTTGTGCCAGGATTTGTCAGTCCACCAGTCTGCTAACTACTTGTGTGCTCATTTCTTCACACAAGTGCAGTAATAACTCTGGTTTTGTTCAGTTTGCTATCGTAGAATGACATTAAATGAGTATTATTCATCAGCAGCAGCATCTCTTTTGAGAAACGTTGACTGTAACTCTGGATGTTCTTTACATAGACACACAGTCCTTCTCCAGTTGTTAAATTTCTTGTTACTCATTTGAAGCATCATCTGATATCCTGAACCTGATATCTTAAACTCTAAACCTGAATAAGTGAAACCAAAACAACCCGCATCGCTTCAGAGTGGCACAGCTTACATATGATAACAGATGGGATTATTTCTGGTAACAAAACCGCTTTCTGTTCAATTCTGTGCAGGTATGATGCCGGCAAAGACAACTTCATCGACTTGATGGAGCTGAAGCTGATGATGGAGAAGCTGGAAGCTCCGCAGACGCACCTCGGCCTGAAGAACATGATCAAGGAGGTGGACGAGGACCTGGACAACAAGCTCAGCTTCAGAGAGGTGAGACAAGTCAATCCTGTTAGGATTAGTCAGATGATCGGATGGTCCTTCGTCTGTATCCACGCCTTCCTGTTCTTTCTGTCTTTCGCAGTTCCTGCTGATCTTCAGGAAGGCAGCGGCCGGAGAGCTTGCAGAGGACAGCGGCCTCGGCGTCCTCGCACGTCTCTCTGAGATCGATGTCTCCACAGAGGGGGTCAAAGGAGCCAAGACCTTCTTTGAGGCTAAGGTGAGCTGACTCCAAGTTTCTAATACTTCAGTCCAGTGAGTGCCGTAGGTAGTACTGTACGATATAAAGATCGTAAAGATGTGGCAGGTTGTTATTATCCATGAATCACTCATCAAAAAGCAGAGCACCAGGGCGCCGCTANTGGAGCAGGACTGGGCCGGTTAGTGGCTCATGTGGACCAGACGTGGGTTTGTGGAGCAGGACACAGAGCACAGTGGGGGTATTATGCAAGTCACTGATAAGGAAGTGAGATAAGGCTGACTAAGTACAGAAAATTACCCAGTGTTCTGAGCTCATTGTACCGGGCCTTATCTTGAGTTTAAGGACCTGGGCAGGACCTGGGCAGGACCAGCATGGATCGGATGTGTGGTCTATTTTAAATGTGACCGCACAATAGTCACAACGCTGAAGAAGTCCCAGTTTGGATTTGCCCAGTCGTGATATATAGTCAACAGGAAGTGGATCTTAAGTCAGAGTGGAAAAGATGGAAACACAACTCAGTGTGTTTTAGTCCTGAGCGATCATGTGTCATGAGAGAGGTTATGGAGGTAGAAGTTAGAGGTCAGTGCTGCTCGTGGGAGGGTTACATATGTTTAATTACAATAAAACCATCAGTCAGTTCCTCAGTTGGACGTCTGAAGGAGTGAGGATGAGACACGTTAAACTGGGATTCAGGAGGAGGAGGAAGAGTTTTGTCCAGTGAGGCTGGAGGTCACAGACTGCTGATCAGTCCATCATAGAAAAATCAAACGTTATAGGGATGTTTGGAAACTCATATATATGTATTATAAGTGTATGTAAACTTCTGTCAGCAGGTAGGATCTAAGAATGACCATTTAGAGAAAGAAAGTTCCTCATAGGCTGCCTTTTGCTTCATCTCGGTTATAGAAAGTTCCTTATAATATGCACCTCATTCACACAGTCAGAGCCGCCATGTAAGGTGATGGAGACGCACCCACCCTGTGGTTGGTGGAGGATCTGCTCAACCACCCGTGGCCCAAAAAAAACACTTGATCATATGCAGGAAGTTCCATTACATCAGATTTTATTTTCAAAGTCAGCACTTGTCTCTGTTTAAATTTTAGGCTAAAGTAGCTGATGTGGAAATTCTACTAAAGCTAAACTCAGCGTCCAGCAGAGGTATTTATGACAATAAACCAAACACATGCATGTGGGGCTCCCTGAGACGGGAGCCAGAAGGTTTCACCGTCACAGGCTGGAGTCAGGCTGAGACAGACCTTCACGTGAAGAAGCATGCAGCTGATTTATACAATATGTGAAAGAATAGCAAATCTAAAACCTGTGAAATCGAGAGCTTCCATTCTAGTGACAGCTCTGTTGTTATTTATGAGCCCTTAGACTTTGCAGTAATACTGTGTTGCTTTATTATTTTACCGTTCAACTTGAGGATTTCACAAAAACTGGGCTGCACGGTGGATCGGTGGTTAGCATCATCGCCTCGCAGCTAGAAAGTCGCCAGTTCGTGTCCCGGTGAGGACAGAGATCTTTCTGCATGTTCTCCCCGTGCAGTTTTCTCCAGCTTCCTCCCACAAGGTCTTAGTGAGGATTAACTGGTGCATAGATAATGGACGGATGGAGGTTTCAATTCAAACTTATGATTATATATAATCTATGATCTGCACCTACTCATGTTAAAATACCCACAGTACCAGTGAGTCATTTTATTAACGTCATCCACCCCTCACATTTGTTTGTTCCTGAAAGGTTAAAAGGTTAAAAGACATTCGTTTTGATTTTGCTGCTTTTTCGCTGTGCAGCTGTTTGTCGGCTGAAGTGGGAGAAAGTTCTCGCTTTGACTCTGAGGTTTTGTTTTTGCATGTCCGTGACTGAGGGCTTGTCCTGCGCGATGCTCCAGCCCAAATTCTTCAGGTTCCTGTTCATGACCGGGCTTGTCTCGGCATTTTAAATGAATTGCCTAATTATAGCACAGGCGCGCGTTGCTCATCCGTCTGCAGAGGGTTGGAGGCAGCGGCGACGGTTTACTGCTGGTGTAATGACCTCACTAATCCTGCTCGGTCACAAAGTTATATTGTGATTTCATGTAGTAAAACCAGTAAAAACAACTGCGTATAAACCATTACTAGCTTTGAATCTGAATTTCAGCCAACAACACGGTGGATGTGATGGCTGCTGATGGAACAGCGTCAAAGCTTGGTTGAGTAATAGACAAACATTTAGAGACGTAGCCTGGAGTCAATGGCAGACGTTATGTTTTTACGATGGGAGGGAAGGAAGACGGCATTTACAGATAATCTGCTTGCAGCTTTCTCAATCTCAATATGTGCACATTGACTCCACTGGGCTTTGAAATGTTCCCTCTAGAACTTAAAACTTCTGTAACATAATCTTGTTCTGTACCGACCAATTAATTAGTTTTATTGAACAATCTAAGGATTGTTTTTCTCAATTAGCCGATAAATACAGTGAGTGGAGAGGTACCAGCTATTTGACTTAAAATGTGAATTTATTTACCCCAAATAATATGTAATAAATCATAATATGTCTGAAATGCAATATAATTCAGTCACTATTCTCTAATATCTGTGTCACTACTGTGGTGAGAGCCACATACAGTAAAAAAATAAACTAAAAAAGGGCAAAAAAGCTAAAAAACTTATTTAAAAAAATATTATTTTGGTTAAAAATATAGCGCTAAGGGTAAAATCTAACGTTAAAAATATAAATACTGATTTAAGGTAAAGTTTAGCTGATAAAACATTATTTCAAGATAAGATCCTCCCTTATGAGGACGCCTGTGACGTTGTTGTTTGGTTTGAATGAGCTACAGGTGAGCGAGCGTACAGGTTTCCTACCTGTGGACGATAATGTTCTGTTTTTAATGGAAATAAATGGACTTAAACTTCGTCTTGGTCTTCAGTGTGAGAAACCTCCTGTGGCTCAGTGCGGCTGTTTGACATACAGATGTTGTAGCGGCCTGGATCGCTGCAGTAAATGCAGTCAGGATGGGCGTTTGTGTTTATTCTCACATCGTTGTGTGGCACAGAGGAGAACGGTAATGATTTACAGACAACATTCGTGGTCACACATGCCCGGTAGAGTAAACAGAAAGTGTAGTGCAGCAGTAAAAGCATGAGCTGGTGCACGGTGTGAGCAGCAGTGCTGAACTGGAAGGGTGTGGTGAAGACACATCTAGAAAGTCGCTCTGCTGACAGAAGACGTTCATGTGTTGACAGTCTGAGTCGTAGCTTGTTGGGGACAAAAGGTACCAGTGGTGTCGGTCACTGCCGTCTCCACTACTGGTGAGATCAGCCGTTTCCAGTTTGACGTGCTGAAAGACCGCCACG